GTGTGTGTGTGTGTGTTTGCATAGATCACATTTGAGGACCAAATTGTCCCCAAAGTGTAGTAAAACCTTAAATTTCCCTACTTTTGGGGACATCTTTTGAGGTCCCCATTTGTATAACCTCAGTTTTATAAAAATCTGTGAATGCAATCAAAAAAATAAAAATGCCAAAAGTCTTGTATTTGGGTTGGTTACTTATGGTTAAGGTTAGGGATGGGTAGAGGTTAAGGGTGTCGTGACTGGGATTAGGGTTTTTCCCATAGAAATTAATGGACGGTCCCCATTTAGATAGGAATACCAACTTGTGTGTGTGTGTGTGTGTGTGTGTGTGTGTGTGTGTGTGTAAGCTGAACAAAAACGTCTGAAAAATAGCAGCATTCATGGCTCTTTGTGCATTCAGGAAAGACTACAGAACTCAGCATAATTAAAGTCATTTAAGGCCTTTAAGGAACAAGACCACACCACCTCTCAAACACTGTGTTCTTCGGAGAGAAGCTCATCTGCTAAAGAGCAAAAATATGAAGTTCCTGAAAGTAAAAATTAGATTCCCGACAGGTACCATCTATGGACTCCTCCGCCAAAACTGTTACAGGTGAAACGTAAACCATAAGAACCCACCAAATGCGGTGACACACAGATGCATGCTGGCAGGACCACCTGACCCTGGGACACAAACTGCTTTATAACACTGAATCAATTGCAGATTAATGTAAAATGATTTTTTTACCAACAAACCTAAAACTTGAAAATCGAAGCTGAACAAAGGGCAGTTATTGCGATCCGTGCTGCTCCCCCCGCCCCCTGAAATCCTGCCTAAATGCATACAGTCCCCATTATGTCCATCACCCCCGCCCCCCCCCCACACCTGCTCAGAGTAAAGAACTGCTTTGGAATTCCTGCACGCAGGTCTGTAAGGTGGCTCGTTGTTCCTCTTCAATTCCTATGGTGTCAGTCATTCTTCATTACTTACTGACTGAGCGATATTATTTTTTAACAACGTACACTGGTGGCCTGTAAAGCTGAGCTATCACAGTATAACGTCACAACCTCCTCTTCTGGAGCCAAAATGCAAACCTCAGTACTTGGAACACCACATTTATTGCCATTGTGCAGAATGCCTGCTGTGTGTGGGGCAGGGGGTGGGGGGCTCTCCTCATCGCTCCGCTCCCTCCGAGAGACGGAGGCGTGCTGGAGATGATGAACACCCACAGAAATGCCCTACTGTTCCACACCTGAAGACTACCATCTATGGAGACAGCTGAATATACAGTTGAAATGGACCTGAACAGCTGGTAGTCAGTGGGCCAGGTCAGGTCCACCTCTGAAGCTGCACAATTTGGTTCGGAGGAAGTTATTGGATGTCAATGTATTCACCAGAGAGAATAAAAGTAAATATCTGGATGCCTGAGATAAACGTCTCGGGCCCTAAAATTTGGGGCCCAGGTGCTGAAGTATATTATATTTGGGTCTCAGACTCCAGACCTGCACCCAGAGCTCTTCAGACAAAGTCAGTGTCTGCCCCCGCCTACATCTCTGCCTTTCTAGCAGCAACATAGATACCTGCGCCATTTAAGAGCAGCATCCTTAATTAAGTGTTATGGTGGTGACCCCCACACCATCCCTGCTTCCAGGGAAATGCAGACAAACCTTATCAAAGTACGCCCAGATCCAGCCTTCTTCACCAACAAGTGTCACATATAGCAGTCAACTATCTTTACTAATCACTATAGCAACACAGAAAGACACCAAATCTGACATTTGCGGCTTCCCAGACAGCTCCCGTTCAACGCAGCGGCACATCGCAGCAACTTTTTATGATCAGGCCCTTTAAAAACTAGCCCGGTACCGGCCAAGATCTGTCATGGCTGAATCTGAGCGAAATTACGGTGAGCGACGGCACCGCCGGGTAATTAAGAGATCGTTGAAAACAAATGTATTAAAATGCTGCCCTTTCAGCCCTGACAATATGTCACTCACAAGAGTATGTCCCGTATAATAACATACAGCTCATTTATTAAATTTAAAGCAGGGAAAAATTGCCTAAAATTATACGGAATGTTGTAATGGTTATTTATAGCAAACTATGAGAAAATAAAATAAGTACACAAATGGTAATGCTTTACATTGTAAGCTAATTGTAAAACAATCAAATATTTGTATGCATCTTACACACGTAGTTGCAGAGTCAACAAGCATGCCATAAAGCAAATATGCACAAGTATAAATGATCATCGGGGATATATCCGCGGAGATGCTCATAAGTGGGATACCAAACTTCACTGGCCGGAAGAATCATCCAGAAGGAGACTCGGGTAATTAGTGGAGACCTGGCTGGGTCTCTCCCACCGGGCTGGAAACCGGCCGAGATCGCGGAGCAGAAAGCGGCAGCGTCACCGCCGGCGTCAGCATCGGGTGGGAGTGCAGCCTAAGCTTTGCAGTCAGGAGAGACAGCCCAATTTCAAAGTAATAAGAAAGGCGGATGCATGCTTATCCACAGGGTGAGCGGCGCAATTATTTTAAAACGTCATGGCAATTTTGCACTCGGCAAAAGAAACCGATTGTAAACATTCATTAAGAATGTATTTATTCAGGAGCGCGGAATCAACAAGTGGTAAAAAAAAAAAACTGCTTGTGTCAGATTACATATATTTAGCTACTGCTAAATATATGCATCCTTGTTCATGCAAACAGAACTGTGTGCCTAACATCCTGAGCTGGACAGGGGTTCAACATTCACACGTGAAACTATAAACACCTTGCATGATAAAGCATTAAAATCCGCCCGCTTCGTGGACAGAGCCAGCTACAAGAATGATTTAAATGATCTGGAAAAAATGTAACACTCTGCTCGGTACATGGTCCCCTGGTTTGCAGTTCACCCAGGTTTCCTCATATCCCGTTACATGGTTTCATAGGGCGGGAGATACGGGGTAAGAAGCGCTGTGCTGTACGAAGACTGCAAAAAATACACTAACACGAATCGAAGAGATTCCTTTAGGGACAAACTTTCTCTCTGAGAACAAATAAGACTAAATACAAAATATATAAGTTAACAGTAGTCTGACAGTAGCAGAACTGTACCCTTGCATGAATGCATCGATATAAAAGATTCGGGGGACTTTTTCATGTGTGCTTATGCTGCGCGTCATTGTGATTGTGTAATGTCTAATATTTCAGAGGCAAGTTCCTTAAACAGTAATATATTTACGAAATGCACATCAAAAGATGTTTGATCGATTTAAATGTATTATACGAATAAGCAGACTGGGCAGCAATGCAGGTGGATAAGCGCGTCACGCGGCAATAAGTAAGAGTTCGCGAACGAAACGTTAGCAAAGAAACTTGCCATTTCCGCTGAAAATGGTTAGGGTTGATAAAATGGTTAGGGTTGATCTATTGCAGATGTTCATGTATATGTACGGTTATTACTTGTGAATCGTTACCAACACGTTGCCGTGCTCCCTACGTAAGGCACAAGCTTAGGTGGGGATAAATCCAGAGCCCAGCCAGGTACCTTCTACGCTTCCCATTCAAGAATTTTATATCTCTTAATGTTTCGCCAAAATAAATAAACCTTTAACAGGAACGGCTTTGCGTTTACGTTTAATACAATTTAGTGGATTCAGTTTTGGCAGATATACGGCGTTGTTGATTTTTTTTCCAGCTCAGTTCTTCGGCTTTTTGTTAGTTCGTATATTTCAACGCTTACTTGTTCAGCCTCCTTAAAACAAAAAAATAAATACTCAAAATAATCGTGCCCGACTAACCGGTTTTTCCGCAGTCCTCAAGTTTACGTCTTAATTGCAATTTCAACTTCTATGTTGTTTATGGTGCGCATTTCCTAGCAAACCTAATCAGGGAACCACACAATGAGCGAGTTCATGTTACACATGCATGGAGAACATTCATGTCTACTGCTAGTCTCCCATCTAATTCTCTTTAGAAACTGTCAAAAAAAACACGAATGCAACAGTTTTTAAGGGATGGCTACGCTTTCATCACATGAAATGGGGGGGGGAAACTCACCTGCAGGCTTGAAGCACTTTATCCCACGAGTACCTTTGTTTTTCCTTCGGTTTTGATCAGTACGTGAGCGGATTGTGGCTCATATATTTACATCGCTGGTTTAGCAAACATCCGAGAATTCGACAGATCCCACATGCTTTTACCGTAATGTGACAAATAGACTGAAAATTCGCGCGCGCCGCGCCTACCGTAATATATTGACTATGCACGGCCCTGCCCGGAGAGATCATGAATGGTGTATAATTAATGACCGACGGTATAATGTAATTGTATTTCGCTACTTTACGTTTTACAGTACACGTCATGCAGGCATTATTCAAACATTTATGAAAGTTTGATAGATGGTAGTGTGCATTATTTTTCTCTCTGATTTTGCAACATAAAGCATTTTTGTCTGTTCATTACATCGGCAAATACAATTATATTGTACTACAGCAAATGTGAATTTTACCATTTCTAGTCATATTTTCCAAAGGCCTTTCAGTCCTCTGTGACCCATGATCCAATGTAGAAGTATTCAGTGCTTGTAATGGGGAAGTACAGGTACTGGTACTGCCCTTGTTATTCAGTACCAGCAGATGTTGAGAGGTGCCAGTACTTTGAAGAGAAAAATAAGGAGGTGCTGTCAGTGGCACAGCGACAGGGCAGGCAGGGCAATGGCAGGGAGCCCTGCTGGGAGCCCCCTCCACCCCCCTATTACATAGTACACTGCACAAACAAATCTGCTGTATTTGTATATTCTGTTTTTCACACAAGTGAAAATAAAGGTCTTGTGTTTATTAAATTCTCTTTGTTGATATCAGGGGTGTATTTAGAGATGAATGGATAGGGGGGCGGAGTCTTTACTAGGGGGGCTGATAGCAAGCTATTCATGACTTAAGCCAATAAATACACATGAGGCTAAGAAACATTTCAGGGGGGGGTAAAGCCCCCCTAAAATAAGCCTAACAACACCCCTGGTTGATATTATAAATTTACACTTTACAGTAAAATAAAGATAATAAATTCTGCCATGCCGGAGGAGGGGCCCCTTTTTTCGCCGAGGGTTCCCAAAGTGCCTAGAATCGCTTCTGGGTTCTGATACTGCGTACTGGTGAGATCCAGCCCTCTTCAGGCATTGGAAGTACTGTCACCTGACAAGCTCAGTGATTGGTGATCCATCTTGTTATTCTCTAGCTTCAAGTTCCAGTCCTTCAGCTCCTTAATTTGGTGGTTTTAGTGTCCAGGTGTTGCCTCTCTACTGTCCTGGAATTCTTTCCCCTTTTGCTCCCGGTGATGTTTCCTACTTCCTGATCCTTGTCTTATTGACCCTTACCTCAAACTGCGGCCTTGATTTGTCCCTCCTGGTTTCTCCATCTCTGGTGTGCTTTGTACCTGAATCTAGCCCCCCCCCCCCCCCCCCCCCCATGCTCCCCCTGTATGTTAGTGTCACTCTGCAAATTCTGAACAGCTTTCGAGAATTCTGAAGCCCAGCCAATGGGGAAAGTGCCTCATTTCTCTCGGATGTCTTGCTTGATAGTGGTTAGGTTTAATGGGAGAGAATAGCAGTTCTACATCATTTTAACAATGAGCCCCTGGTAAGTAACACATCCTAAAATCATCGTCTGGTGTTTCTCCACAAAGATAAACCCCAACCAGAAAAGAAAAGGAAAGAAAAGGTGAAGACAAGTGTATAATGGTTAATTCCTCCAGTGTGAGAAACGTTATAGCAGCATTGTATGCTACGAGTTCCCTCATTAACCTAAGTTGTGCAGGCAGAACCAGAGCAGACTTGGCTATGAGAGGGTCACAATTACCATAAACTACAGCTATTCAAGGTGTGGAATGCAGACTCTCAGCCACACCAGAGCAGTAATATCAGTGACCCCCCCAAACCCCCCATCCCCAAGGCCCACATGTCTCCCATCAATTTCCCCAATAGTGATAGTGGTGGGAAACTGTTTAATGGGAACGCCACACTGGTATGCCAGCTGCTCATCTATAACATTCAGGAGGGACCAGAATCTACAAACACAGATGTGGAGACACCTGTTCAGGAGACAGAAGCATAGCACTTCCCCACTGTTGGGGGGGGGGGTTCCTATTAATTCTGTGAGCCTTAGAATCTTCCAGGCCTGCAGAGTAAACCACATGGTGGAGACCAGACCCATAACAATATATTCAGAGGCGTTGCTCCAATCAGGGAGTGTGCTCATATCTGGATGGATTTCACGCAGCAGCTGGTTATCAATCAAGGCTTCTTGCTTGGCACCGGTTCTCTTGAGCTACTCGAAAAACCGGATCTACTAAACGTCACCCGGCCTTCTGTGACTCCCTAGCTTTAAGGAAAATACTACTTCTTCATCCAAGAAAACTCCTTCATTGGTCCCTAGTGAGAAAGGGGTGGATATTTCATGCACCTGCACCATATTACTAATAAAATAAGTCTTCTTCTTTCTCTAGAGAGCTGGAGAGGCAGAGAGAGCCTTCAGAGAAACTAAATGCTGCATGCCTTCCTTAAGTTCTACCTTGTCTCTTGTCCCTTTCTGTTGGTCCCTCATTAAAGTCAAAATTGTGGTTTTGAGGTATTTAATCTGCTCTCCCATTTTGTGGAATAGAACAGAAAGGCTTCTCTGAATGGACAATACACCTATTCTTGAAGTGGTTCTGGAAGAAAAAGCAAACTAGCATTATGGGAAACATTATTACAACAGATTCTCACTTACACTGAATATAGTTGTAGAAGCATTTTTGTTTCTTTTGGCCAGACAACTAGTGCTTTTGCTTTTGTTTCTGTGTCATTTTGCAAAGTTTTTCCTTTTCAATATTAGGTCATTATTTGTTATATTTTTCCATTCATCACCTTTATGGATAATTATTATACTATAATAGATTGATATTTTACCATTTCTATTCATATTTTCCAAAGGCTTTTCATCTCAAGTTGGCTTATGTTTTCTCTTTAATGTTTAAATACCTCTGAATATATTATTGAAGAGCTTTGACTTCCTTGAAGATCTTGATATTTAAACGTGAGTGAAATACATTATACTATTATATATATAAACTAACTGGCTGATCAGTCTCCACTTAACTACCTGCTGTGCTATATACAATGACTCAACACTTTTTTGGTGTTTCTGTGGAATCATTAAATTCTAATCAGTCTGAAAGGTCAACACCAGCTCAAAGGCAGAAAAGCAGTCCATGGTTAAAATAAAAGGATAATAGTCCTGTGCTTGCAGTCATTTTCATTGAAAGCCATGACTAAAAATATCACTGTATAATGTATTATGGTTGAGAACAACAGGTTCTCAGATGTGCATGAGTGTCACATCTCCTGCTAAATAGCCCACATGGCTCCTTACCCCCCCACCCCCCAAAACCAACAGGCTTTCCACCCGAACCCATGGATTGGTGTCTGAGGAGAAGAAAACTTTTTGAACAGGACAAAAGACAAGGTGATGCAACTGTGCAGAAAGTAAATGGGAGACACAGGGCTGTGAATAGCGCTCCTTCCCCACTGGCCAATCACATTGCAGAATCCAAAAGGAGACACAGGGCTGTGAATAGCGCTCCTTCCTCACTGGCCAATCACATTGCAGAATCCAAAAGGAGACGCGGGGCTGTGAATAGCGCTCCTTCCCCACTGGCCAATCACATTGCAGAATCCAAAAGAACTATGACTATGCAATAAAAGAACTATGACTATGTTAAGCAATTACAAACTCATTTAATAGCATGACAAGAATTCTGCCCTTAACTGCCAGGAGGGCGTTTTATTTCAGTGAGCAAAAACAGACAAATTATTAACAATTCAGATGAGTGGAAATGACTGGAATGGCAAAATTTTCAGAATAAACAGAGAGCATGAACACTCTGAGCTGAACAAAGGAGAGAGGACATTGGATTCTTTCTAAAAAATTGTGTGCTAGGCCTTCTGATATCATGCCAAGTGATTTAATATTCCTGCTGAACACGGCGATTAGAAAGACGTGGCTTGCAGGCCCCTCGCTGGGGAGAGACACATCCAGGAAGTGTGGGACCCTCCCTCCGTAAAGGATGCTCCAGCTGAAAAACAGCTGCAAAATCTCCACGTTCATCTAATTTTTAAATATGCTCGATGGCTACGGCCTGTTAAACATCACTGACCCCCCCCCCCACACACACACACACACACATACACACAAGCATATTTATTCCTATTCTTTCTGTGGATGCACCATGCCACTGACATGCCAGGTTGGCTTGTATATTGACAGCTGAAGTCTTGCCTCAAGCACAAGGACACGGTCCTGGGTGTGGGAGAGGTGTGTGCAGCGCTAGTCATTAAATTTTCTTTTTTGTTTTTTTGGTTAGCCTGCCTTTCTGCCTTGAGGACAATTGCTGATAAAAACCCTGAGGTATTTTCTTTGAGCACGGTTCTCTTGGTTGTGAGAACGTGAATATGAGCAATGATACACACTTCTTTGTAAACAAAAAAATACACACACATTGAAATACTGATATGCACCCACAAAAACGCAGACCTAAATGGGAGACCATCCCTTTCATGGAGATCTCCATGTTTCCAACACCAAAGCAAGAGCAGACGTATGACAAATCAGTATCATATGTAACTTAGCACATAGCTGTCAAGGACATTCAGGATGCAAATGTATTCAGAAAAGCAAAGTACTTCCGTATGGTTTGACTAATGTTAAGCACGTGTTGCTACTGAAGTAATCAACTGAAAATGAATGTTATTAATACTAGAAGTGAAGGGCAGAAAGGTAATGCATTGAAGAGGTCAGACTCAGAGAAGAGCGAGAGAAGCCGCTTCTGTCACACACTCACATCTCAGAGTCAATTAAAAGTAAACACTGGGAATTAGAACATCAAAGACATGCTAAAAATACCACAAGGCTTATCTCACATCTTCTGAAATTACCCCAAAGCCAGGATCATACTATTTTTCAAAAAATTCGATGAACGGCGTTTGCGTAAATGTAAAAATGTATAATCAAAAGTATTCTGCATAAATATGCTTTTTAGCATAACAATATGGGGAAAAAACTATAATTATATGATAGAAGCAGCTAGAACACCCAGCTCCCAAGGATACCTGTCAAAATAACCTCGGGGAGGCTAAATCAATACCTGGGTGATGATAAGAAGATTCACAGACTCCCATAGACAGTGGAGGCCTTG